TGCTTCTGCAGTGTCTCTCTCATCAGGTCCAGAGTAACATCATCGTCTTGAAGGGAATGTGGCTGGAGCAAGCTCTTTAGCAACCCGTATGTTCGAGCTCCAATAACAGTGATGAAGACAGCCTTCTGTGCTTCACCTCCCACAATTCTGTTTGCTTTGAAATAGAAGCTGAGCCTCTCTGCATACGATGTCCAAGATTCCTTGGTTGCATCGAAAGCTGACATCTTGCCATGAGTAGCCATAAATAGGAATATAGGAATAGAAAGGAAAGTAGTCAGGAATGATAGACTGCAACTGTATCAGTGTCCAAGTACCCTCGTCGCCAGTGTAGTGACCGAGAAGGAAAGGTAAAGAGAGGTCTCGCGGGAATCAACGAACGAATTTATCAATAACTACAATAAGTTAAAAACTTCTTCTTAAAACTGAAGAATACACACACTTAAATACACAGAAATCAATTGCATCATAATACATCACTGACACACATTGCATAATATTACATAACACTAGAAAGGAATCTTAATCAACAATGCATACATTATATAACCTACATAAGAAATGAAAATAAGTACAGAAATAATAATTAGGAAAAATGATAATAATAATAATACAATACATGCCTAGGAAAATAATTATAAACTAGAACAAAAAGATTTAAAAAATTATTTAGTGTAGGGTTGAGCCTGTTGGATTTGAACCTAGGAAATGAATTCAAACAAGCCCCTGTAGGGTTGCTGGTTTGAAAGTATAAAAGGAATTCAAACAAGTCCCTGTAGGGTTGCATCACCATTGAAACACCAACATGTCAACCCTACACTGCAGGTATGGCTATAGCAGCACTGATGAGTATTACTATTAATGCTATATAGTATGGCAATTAAATGTTTGAATGAGCATTATGGTAAATTTTGTGCATGCCTATTGCCTAGCTGATGATTGGACAATTATACCTGCAGTGTAGGGTTGACATGTTGGTGTTTCAATGGTGATGCAACCCTACAGGGACTTGTTTGAATTCCTTTTATACTTTCAAACCAGCAACCCTACAGGGGCTTGTTTGAATTCATTTCCTAGGTTCAAATCCAATAGGCTCAACCCTACACTAAATAATTTTTTAAATCTTTTTGTTCTATGAAGAATTCTTTTACGTTCCATGTCATACAGCCGATATTCCTTCTGGTTGCTTGAGTAACCTAGAAAAATACATTTTCTTGATTTATCATCTAACTTACGTCTCTCATCTTTCGGGATAAATGAAAAAGCCAGTGCAACCAAATATTCTCAAGTGATCAACTTTTGGGCACTCTCCAAACAGTGCTTCATAAGGCGTCATATGCTCAATTGGTTGAGTAGGACATCGATTACGTAAGTATACAGCTGTAGAGAGTGCCTCTGCCCAAAAACATTTGTCTAGCTTGGAATCAGCTAGCATGGCTCGAACCATTTCAATCAAAGTTCTGTTGAGTCTCTCTGCTGTTCCATTCTGCTCGGGACACTTCGGTATGGTACGTTCGTGTCTCACTCCTTCTGACTTAAGATACTGTTCAAACTGGTGAGACATATATTTGCCCCCATTGTCAGTTCGGAGTGTCTTCACACGATGTCCAAATTGATTTTCCACTTCTTTCTTCCATTCGCAAAACTTACTGAAGACATCACTTTTATTCTTGATTATGTACACCCATATGTATCTTGTTTTGTCGTCGATGAATGTCACAAAGTATTCTCCTCCACCAAGTGACTTAGATTCAATCTTCCCGCATACATCACTGTGGATCAGCTCAAGTGGCCTTTTGCTTGCTCATCTTCTGGGTGAGAATGGAGATCGTTGCTGCTTTCCTTTTAAACAGG